AGCACATTCCTTTTGTAACTGCCTGTCTAATGCTTTGTAGAAAAAAATTATTTACTTCCTAAAACCACCTTCTGGAACATTAGTTAAGAGTCCCGCAATTTGACTCTTTCTGCATCTTGCATGGGTTAACCAGCTTGTATCAAAAAGACAGATAATTAGAGATTTTTTAATGCTATATGCTATATCCTGTGAGAGATGAAGGATTCTATTGAATGTTGCGTCAGATAAGAATATCTGTATTTTGTGGACTTTGGGGCACAATATTTTAAGAAAGATGAAGGTTATTGGACATAGTCCAGAGGACAGCAGGAAGAATGATTAGAGGTGTAGAAAACACAGCATATGAAAAAAGTCTTTCAATCTTCAGGTTTAGTTGTTTAGTCTAAAGAAGAAAAAACTGAAAGGAAATTCATAATAGCCTTCTAGTGTGTACAACTTTTCTGTAAAGAAGGAGAAAAACATTCCTCATGTCCACTGGGAGCAGAGCAAAAAGTAGTAGGCTTAAATTACAACAAAGGAGATTTAGGTGAGACATTACGGAAAAAAGCCCTTTCCACTGTAAGGATAGTTAAGCACAAGAATTGCCTAGGGAGGTTATGAAGAGGTTAGACAAACATCTGTCAGAAATGATTTAGGTATAGCTAATCCTGCTGTGAGATAAAATGTTGGACTAAATAACCTTTTGAGGTCCCTTCTAGCACTATTTTCTGTGATTCTGTGGTTAGGATACTGTACTCACATTGTCCTGCAGTAAGATGTTTCTGTGCAGGGATGATATCACTGTATTCTGCATTGCATGCTTTGCTTTGTTTTTGCTTTAAGCTGATGTGGAGAACGATGGTCTGATGTTTAAAGCACTTTAGCTTTATTCTTATTACCTTAGGAGCTTTGAGCAGGGCATTAGGAGCTTGTTTTCAGCCAGACAGCCCTGTGCTTTTTTTGCACTAAACGTGCCAATAAGGGTTATCGGTACACACCTCAGAATTAGCAGCTTTTACTATGTCTTTTAACTTGCAGTCAAACACTTATATGGGTGGATGCTCAGTTTCTGCTTATAAGCGAAATGCAAACAGAAAAAAAAAATAGCCATGAAAAGAAATGTATCATAGCTTCCCCGTTAGTAATACCAAAATAAAAACAGGCATGTTCTAAAGCTGAATATAACACAAGTTGTGAAACATCCTGGAACTGACAGATGGAGAATGATATTAAAGTGCCAGATATTATCGTTATTACCTCATCAGAGACACCATTGAAGGCATCAGTTTAAGACTGTCCTTATCCTCTGTAACACTTAAACTCTTTAACTTTGTTCTTTCATTTGGCATTCTGCCACCCGGCAGGATTTGTACTCAGCTTTGCATTCGGCAGGAGTGTGTTCGCAATATTGCTTCTGCATACTGAATATGGCTCCAGCACAACTACACATTGGTGGGTTTTGTAGAACTCCATCTGGAGGAACAAGGAATAGGAAGCTTCTGATTTTGAAGTAGTTTAAAAGAAATTGGTCATACTCTGCATGTAACGTTGATAGAGAGTGTGTCTTATTAGTGCCACTATTCCTGCAGAGATGAAGTCGTCACAATATTTGAAACAGGGGTGTACTGTCACGCCACAGCAGTGACCCGAGTGTGTGGTTTTCATGGGTGGGACTGTTCCTGAACCCAGCAGGAAAGATGGGACAGTTCTTGGTTTGTTGATCCTTTAGGAACCTGAAGGTTCATCATCACGTTTTCCACGGTGTAATCTCATAGCTTTTCACAGTTAGGTGGTTAGCTGCCTGTTCTTACTCAAGGAATGAGCAGTTTCCATTTTCTTAGACAATCCCACTTTTTCACTAGGAAGGGGCAGGATGGGGGAAGGCAGGCTCTGCGATGCGTGGCAGAGAGGTGAGCCAGAAACCTCATCTGCAGATGTGGATCCTCCTTGCTGAGGGCCACAGCTCTGTGCGATGGACTTACTTACACTGGCACGTTTCTGCAGGCAGGTCCCTTAGGTGAGGGTTTCTGGCTTAGCATCTAAAAGGAAACATGTGCTGTTAAACAAACTTACTTGCTGCTTTTGTAAAGGTAGCCTGGTATTCATCTGACTTAAAAATTCAAAAGACAAGCTGAATTCATGTGAAAAGAAAAATACTGATTTTTTTTCTACTGCATCACCTCATTTGCAGTCCTCAGAATTTCACTAGTGAAGGGTGCTCTTGCAAATATATATATACACGTGTTTTGTATGTACATCCAGTGCCGTCCAGTTGGTGTCATGTTATCTGAAAACACAGTGTATGTCCAGCACCAGAGCTAAAAGTGAATCACAGACCGTTTAAAAATATATGTTGTTTAACGATGACAAACACAGAATGTTCTGCAGTATCTATCTGATAATATTTGAAGCTCATATGAAGAGTTTTTAATAAAGGAAAGATGATTTGATTAATAGCAATTGTATTATATTTTACTTGGGGAAAAGTAATTAAAATTATAACCTTTGCCCTGCTTTCAGAGATAGATACTTTGCAAGTTCATTCAAAATAAGAGTTGTTAGGACTTTCAAATAATGCTTGTTTACTTTCTAGAGTTCATAAAATCATTAGGTTGCATATTCTTATTAAAAAGAGGTCTTGCTTTTCCAGCTTTTAGCAATTGTATTATATTTTACTTGGGGAAAAGTAATTAAAATTATAACCTTTGCCCTGCTTTCAGAGATAGATACTTTGCAAGTTCATTCAAAATAAGAGTTGTTAGGACTTTCAAATAATGCTTGTTTACTTTCTAGAGTTCATAAAATCATTAGGTTGCATATTCTTATTAAAAAGAGGTCTTGCTTTTCCAGCTTTTTGTGAGGGGGTTTATTCCCAGCCCCGATCCGGCATCACGAGGTGCTGCCCCACGAAAACCCAAGGTGTTTGCAAGCAGAGCAGCGTGGGCTCGGCCCCTGCAGGGTGGTAGGCACCCTGGGGAGGGCACACACCCACGCTGAGGGTCGAACGCCGCAGACGGGGGGAAGGGAGGGCTTTTTGGAGGGTTTTGCCTCCCTCTCCCCAGCATGCGAGGGAGCAGGTGGGTTTCCATCTCCTGTCCGCTCACCTCGCGCTGGCCGACAGGGCCTGGGGCAGCCCACGCTCCCGCTCCCCGTTCCCCAATTCCTGCCCAGCCCAACAGTTGGATCCAGAGCAGAACAGCTGAGCAGCAGTTACAGCTTCATGGGCACAACTGTTTTGATAAGGGTTGTCTGCTAGAGGCAGAGATAATGACAGCTTTCAAGGCTAGTATGTTTGGTGAGGAGGGGAGCTGATACTGGAGGGAAGGGAGCAAGAAGTCAGTAGCAATCTTTAAAAATATAAATGTCTGTCAGGATTCAAATTTCAGCCTTCGATTGATTTCATACACTGCGGTGTGTCTGCTCCTCTCCTCCGGTGCTTTAGTAGTCATTAATAGAACTTGAACATGTTTGTATTGATAACCCTGTTTTACCAAAAGCTATTAATTTCTAAAGCAATATAAATACAGGTATAATTGTGATGTCACGTTGTCAGAAGCCATTTCAAATACTTTTCAGAGACACACGTACATGTAAAGTGGTAAGTATGCCATAACTAATGGTATTATTAGTTTGATTTCCTGCCAACCAGTCAGCTTTACAAAAATCAATCCCCAACCTCATAAAGTATCTCCCTAAAACTGATAAATTTTTACGCTATCAATAGTAAGAGAAAAGGTGAAGTTACAGGTTTATCTTTTCTTTTTCTGTGCGTTACTGGTTGAAAGGTATCTTACAGATTGCTGTGATATATAGGAGTGTGCGTATGAGAGAGAGAGAGGTTATAGAAGTCACGAGCTATAGAAAGTTTAAAAAAAAAAATCTGAGTGATCTTTAGAGAATTCAGATGACATGTCTAACAAAGACTGTCAGTAGAATAAATGTGGTTATGTTAATATATGGAACCATTAACACATGTCCTTATCGTAATGGAACTTACACAATGGTAGCTCCTGTCAGATTCCACTCGATACGTATGGCATGTTTGTCTGATATACGGAAAGACAACTATATCTATTTCATTTCAGCTCTGAATTGACACTTCAATTTCAAATCACCCACAGAACACCTTAACTTAAATCTGAGCTTCTCCCTGATACTCTTTGCTTTTTGTCATGTTTCCGTATGAGTATACTGAAAAGACGTTACAGGCAATCTGCTGTAGTGTGTGTGTATAGTACATTTGACCTCTGGACAAGAAAGGAGTTTCATCCTCCGGTGCTTGTAATTCTTATCCTTGCAGAAACTGAATTTGTTGCTTGCATTAAAATAGTATGTCTCGTTAATGCTAAGAAGCGGTGACCCACATAGCACAATGGATTCATTTGTCAATCCCGCAACTTCCGAGCTTTCCGTTCATATATGTCTTAGCAGCAAATCAACTCAGAAATCATTTAATCAGTCTATCAATACATTCTTCTTGTCAGTCATCTGAATCCTGAAAATTCAGTATCTCATTGGGCAGCACCAGGAAAAATAGATTTGGACCTAATACTAGATATTCAAACTCTGAAAACTGCAGCTCCCAAATTCACAGCTCACACACACAAATATCCTAAGAAGAAAAGTAGGATCTGGAAATTGTCTTGAATTTTGAGGATATTCACGTTCTGATCTGGTTCTAAACTTCAGAGTGAAAACCCGTCCCTGTTTGTTAGCATTTCTGAAATACTCTACACGCAGTTACAGAAAGCAGTGCCCTTTTGTTCCCCCTATAAAGAAACAAGCTTTCATTGCTTTTTGCTATTCCCATGGGCTGAGGCTAGAGCCTGAATAGTTTATAACAGTCAGTGTTATGCAAATGTCAATCATATCCTTACTCTGTTTATTTCCAGTATTTACATGTTTCTTTAAGTACTTGCCATTTCTTTTAAGCCTTATATAGCCAACCAGGCCAACAGAGGTCTAAAGGAACAGAACACTTTATTAGTGATATACTTAATACAGTTTTTTTCCTCTTGTAGATGCAAGATTTACGGAATACAGAAGGAGCCCAGTATAGTTCCCATCCTCAGATGGCAACCATGAGGCCAAGGGTTCAACCTGCAGATATTAGGCAGCCAGGAATGATGCAGCACGGGCAGCTGACTACTATTAACCAGTCCCAGCTCAGTGCACAGCTTGGTTTGAATATGGGTGGAAACAATGTTCCTCACAACTCGCCCTCTCCACCTGGAAGCAAATCTGCAACTCCTTCACCATCCAGTTCAGTCCATGAAGATGAAGGAGAAGATAGCTCTAAGGTAGGCTTAGATGCTAGGATTACTGTGTAAACGGTGGATATTTTTAGGACCTGCTAAATGAATCGTATGGCCAGAGTTATTAAGGTGATACTTTATACATTGTTGGTGGTTGACTGAAGTGAATAAAGGATTATGAATACAGAACTTAGAGTTTCCAGTCAATTCTTCAGGCAGCTTGAGTAAATGACATCATTCCTCTTCATGAGAGCAAACTGGAATCCTGTAAAACACTAAGAGGATAGCCATTCCTTTAGGACTTTAATATAAAGGTTGAGTTTTCTCACTTGCATAGAAGGGATGTTTGTTCCCAGTTAAAGATCAAGTTACTGCTATAAAAAGTATGAACAGTCTGTACAATATGCTAGTCTCTGCTACTTGGTCACAGGATGAGTAAACAGAACATCATAGCAACCAGAACAGAAAGATCCTCTACGAACTTTAAAAAGCTTACCTTGAAAATCTTGAAGACCCATTATGCATTTATATCTGGGAGGTGCTGACACTCCAGCATGACATATTTAAGCTTCATTTTAGTGTCAGTACAGGCATGAAGAAATAGTAGTAATTTAAATAATAAACAAGGCATTTATTTAAAGGATAAATGTCAATTTATATAGCGGGCTTTGCATGCAAAAACCTCCCAAACCTCTGCAAATCCTGAAAACTTCCCCCCAAAATACACAAATACAGTATCTTAATTTTGCAGACACAAAAGCTGAGACACAAAAAGATTGGGACTTAGCACAAAGTCATCCCATACACTAGGAATAGATCATACTGAAACTGAGAACCTCTTTAGCTCTATTTTGTGGTCACTGCAAAATAGCAGTCCTGTTACAGCAGTCCTGTAGTGCAGTGAGGATGGTGTACCATGGCCGTATCTTGTGGGGAAAAGTTGCAGACTTGTGAGGAATATGAAGAAAACATATTGTGAGTCACTGAGGAGGTATAATCCAGTCAAGAAATGTAAGTCTGATTTGTTTTCAAATTATATTGTTTTTCATGCCTCAAGCTATAAAATAATCATGTAATTGGAGACATATGTTTTACTACATTTTGAATAAATTCTGATTCAAAAGTTTTATTTCAGGACTTTCCTCTGATTTCACAAACTTTAGGTTTTAAAAATTACTGAATAATTCATACATTTTAAATGAGCACTTCCTTACTGAGGGAGACTTTAGAATACAGCTATGTAAAAATAATTCCAGGCAGCCTTTACTTTTTCAGAATAATTTATTTGCTACTCCTGTTGCTTTGCTAATATTTTTAAATATTTTGGTGGGAGTGTGCAAGATGCTCTAAACTTCTGGAGAAAACATCCACTCAAATAATTAAGATATCCTTTCTGCTTCTATCAAATATTTCTCTTATTTGACCCATATTTTTCATGTACTTTTTCACTGCAACAGTTTGTGCTAGCAAAAGTGTAGGGTTGCAGTTTCATGCAGACAGTACTCATCTGAAGCTAATGTTTTCAATAAAGAAATACTAAGCACTGCAGACCAAGTAAAACTTGGTCCTTTCTTTGTGAAAGCCAGTTTATATAGTGTTCAACTTTTTAACAAGCTGTGTTATTTTGGAAGACTCTTTAAAATTCTCTCATGCTCAGTCTAAGCAGAAAAAAAGATGAGAAAAGGCACAATACACAACACAAAATTAAGAAAAATACTTCAGTATGCTGAAGTTGATATGTTGCCTTAAAATTCTTTGATAATTATAATTTCTCTGCTAAAAGAAGTGTTTTAAGGGATATTAAACTTAGTTAATAATGATAGAGGGCTTAAATTAGTCTCCAACTAGTAGGGATCAAAATGCAAGCTTAATGGGGGCAGGTTATGCCATACCTGTCTTCTGTGGGATTACTTAGGTCTTCCTGAAAACGCCTGAAGTTGGCCACCATCGGAGATGGGCAGTGGGCTGGCACGCCTGATCCGATGCAATGGTTCTGCTGTAGTTCCCTCCATAAAAGACAAGAAGGTTTGAATAATCAGCATGAGAAGCTAGTGTATTGTAGTTTACAATTCAAACCCCTCTGCTGTGTGTCTTTCTGTCATGCTGCTCTTCCTGGAAGCTGCCAGTGAATGGATATGGATACTTAGAATAAACCAACTTTCTGTGGAGATCCTTTTCCCCAGCCACAACAGTATTAAATTTTCTCAGAGATGCTTTGGAGGCTTCTTCTCACTCCAAAAATCCTCCTCCCCGTGAAAGAAGGCACTGGACAGGGACAGCAAGAGATAGAGCAGTCATTCTGTCTCTTGTGAGAATCTTTTTTGCCTGAATATAACTTTGCTAAATTTGGAGTTTTCTCTTTGTTTTATAAACTGTCACGTAGATGTGTGATATTGCTTAAGAGGTCAGGGCCAGACCTCATTATTCAGTCCTTCAGTAGAAGTGCACGTGTTGAGGTCATGTAGTAGCTGCTGGAGCTCACCATATTTGAGCAGCTTCATAAAGTCAGTAAGATGTTCCTGCTATGAGGACTGTGTAAAAAAAAACCTGAATTCACCGTATCGTTAATAGCATCAGTGACATTCTCCCTATTTAACCAGCAGGAGAAGATGTTTGCCTGTGTACCAACAATGATCAAAAAGACAAAGTACATTTTCAAATGGAAAATCACCTCAGTGTCAGATGACCTCCCTTAGTTTATACTAGCTGAACGCCCAGCCTTTCGTGTGAAGGAGAAGCCACTGGTCCTTTGATAGCAGATTTGGTAGAGAAATCCCTAACAACTATACCTATTTCTATCTAGAGAAAAAATTACAGAAATCTCAGTGTCCTGTTCATGTTCGCATGAATTTATAGAATGAGGATGACAGAAGGCATGAATGAATATGTACATTGTATACATTTGGACTAGAAATATAATTGTATCCCTAGTGAACCACTGATTTCCATGCATGGAGGAAATGATCATTTCAGCTTAATGTACATATTCCAAAAGCCAGTAATAAGGAAACTTTACAAACTGATGTAATTGTTCATGTACTCAGATTCTTGGATGTTCATTCTATGGTAAATACTCAAATTGTTGTAAGCCCTATCCAACTTACACAGACCTAATGGCAGCAGCTGCTAAGTATTTTTTTGGCAATACTCATTCTCATAAAGGCTCTTTCATATAGGCCTTTTGGACTTTAAACGTCATCTATTCCCTTGCACAAAAAAGGGAAAGGAGCTGCATTATAGAGGGCTCAGTTGCCCTACACACTGTTGCTCTAAAAGCAAGACAGCTGAGGTTGCTTGACCGTAAGAACAGTGACAACAGTAGCATAATTACAAGGCTATGTATATACAGTCAGAAAGCTGTTAGGTCCATGGAAATATGAAATGTAGTCTCAGACCAAAGATATTGTTTCTGCAAGTGGTGCACATCCCTAAGTCTCCCTAATTCTTCTAAATCTAATATGAGGGACTATGGTTAGAAGAAGAAAAAAGTGAGACCTTAAAAATCAATAGTTTTAAGTAACTATAAAAGTAACTATAAAAACATTCTAAACAAAGTGTCCACTTACCACATGCTTTATTCTGACCACCTCAACATTGGAATATTACATTTATGTAATTCTTGCCATAATTCATACTGCTGGATCGTTAAACATGTATTCCATTATTGCCAAGCATAATTGTGAGCTGCTGGAAGCATTACTGGTTTGCAAATATGTATTTCTTCATAGATGCATAACTGGGTTTTCTTCCATGCTCATTTGAATATCACTTATGAGAGAATTTCAAATAATGTATTTTAGAGGGAAGATAGTGAGAGGACTGCAAGTAGCAAGAATTAACTAACAGAAACACGATTACTAAAGAACTGGTGCAGCATATTCTCTTTATGTGGTAGAGGTTTTACAATATTTACTTTATATGATAAGAGTTATAAGTAGAATTCTATGTTGTCTGTTCAGCCTATTATGCAGATGGTGCTTGATTAAAATCTATTTTAAACTACAGCGATTACTGCAAGATAGTGTGCATAAAACAGCTCTCCTAGCTCCATTAAAGGCTTTGGTACTATTGCAGTTTATTTTAAATATGCTTATAGACATTTTCCAGCTTCTCAAGGGACATTTAGATATCAACGATGTGCCTTACTTGATAGTTTTAAATCCTACACTAGATATTCTTGTGATCTATTATGTGTGCAACATGGTTAATGTACACTTTTTTAAAGTGAAAGATTATTGCTTTCTTGTGATAAATAAGTTAAATACATCACCATAATTAAGCAATAAGCCATGACAGGAGGTGGATTACCATGAGCTAACTACACCTCCAGGGATTTTGAGGCACAAGTCTATGCCTAGCAGAATATATATGGTTTTTATTTTATTTCCCATCTGTCTCTGCTTTGGTGGTTAGAATTGGAGTCTATGAAGCTGATAGACTGATGGGAGCATAAGGTAGGCCATCATCTCAGCCATTTGCAAGGTTATTAGTATTGGAATTCTGGTATTCTTTTTATTTCGTTATTTTCATATAAGAAAACCAGAATTTCCCCTGTGAGTACTCTCCTTTTAACAATGGGTTTTTGAAGTCTCTTGATCATTCAGGTTGGAAAATAAGATTTTAGAGCTGTTCTCAGAACAGCTTACCAGAAGACTTCTTACACAAGTTTCTGCAGCATATCACCTAGTTTAAGGGTAGTTTAAGTAATGTGGTATCCTAATATACAGACCTTTAAATCTCATTGGTCCAAAAATACTCTGAAAAGAGGAAAACTTTAGCAAATAATAGAGGTAAAATTTTAACTATAGCCCAAATTATTGTCAAGCCTCCTTGCTCATGGAGTTTGCACAGAACTGTCTGAAGAGTTTAGACTGATATTACCAAATTAACTAGGGAGCCCTAGTTAATTACCATTTAGCTGGTAGTTGTGTGTACCCTGTAGAATGAAATAATAGCACGATACTAAAAGTTGGAAAATTTAATAATGGGTAGCACACTGCTGCTGTTTTTCCATATTTTCCAAAATGCTGCCGATAGGCTCCATGGCCATTAACCTTGTATTAAAGAGGCATCTATCGTAACATAAGGCTCAGGAAAAAAGCAACTTCATTTTCAAATTGTGGTCCTCACTTTATTGCTGTGCTTAGTAAACCAAAGAGATCCAGGTCATTCACTGTAGTCAGCTGGGCCCTGTTGGACACCACATAGTGAGGTATATAGAAAAATAAAAAAGTTTTTTGCTCAAAATGAGAATTTCCAGCCATTTTCCTCATGCAGTTCCACTGATTTGAACACCTGCATTCTCCTGTGTCACTTGATACGCATTATTAAAAAGTAATAATACAAGGATGTGATAAAAGTCATACCTAGTAGATCCTTAGCCTAGAGCATACCTTTCATGCTCTTGATCTTCTCATACTTCAAAACGCTTATGATGCACAGTACTCTGGCCATGCCAACAAGAGAAAAAAGCCTTTGAATCCTCTGGTAAGATCACACATCATTGCTACAAGGTATAGTGAATTAAGTGATCATATCAAGAGAAGCTGCTTTGCCATGGAGCTCCAACCTGTTGAAGAATCAGGACAGTGTCCCTTTTTGAGCTTGTAAGTCACCTAAGAAAGTAGGGTGCTTTGGTGTTCAGGGTCTCTGATCTAGTGGCAAAGCATAGTAGCATTTAACAAATTTGCACAAATGCTCACATGCATTTTTTTTCAGGTGGTACACAAATAATGCACATGCACTTCTCTTCATATGCCATTCCTCTTTCACCCCTTTTCTCAAACCATCATGAATTTGCTTTTACACGAGCAGAGGAAAAAAACTATGCAGCTAAATCCGGATGGATCAGAACTGATCCTCTAAAGGGGTCCAAACTGTCTGTGCTGGTAAAGATTTGTTTCTTCAGATTTTAATTAGAAGGTGTGTAGGGGAATCTCTATAACTTCAATTGTTTTATTCACAATCAAATTATCTTCAAATTCCCTGGAAGGTGTACCATCAGTTGCACTAGAAATTGATTTGAACACTAGTCTGGTGTAGTTCTGGGGAAGGGTGAGGATAAGGGAAAGGTAGATATGACAGTGTTCCTGCTGCTTGCAGGTGATTCATGTGGTTGAACTGGTGGTCAGGATACAATGAAATTAATTTCATTTGAATTTACTCATTGTATGCATGTTATAGCCATTAGCAATAAAACTTAGAAAAGGTGAAAAGATAACCAGGTGAACTATAAACGAGACTATAACAATTATATGAAAGCAAAATATAAAGCACTTTGAGGGAAAAAATTACATAATCTGAAATACTTATAATAAATTTTATACATGTGACATGGTGTCAACATTTGGTTTATCAAAGATGGCAGCTAAAATTCCATTTTTGCATGCAAAATCCAAAATCTTTTTGTATCACGGAAGCTGTAATAATGGATGGGCTGAACTAAATTTCCTCTTTTAATAGTACTTTTCTAATTTTGTGTTACAGGTCAATGGTGGAGAGAAAAGACCTGCTTCAGATATGGGAAAGAAACCCAAAACTCCCAAAAAGAAGAAGAAGAAGGACCCAAATGAGCCACAGAAGCCTGTGTCTGCCTATGCATTATTCTTTCGAGACACTCAAGCAGCCATCAAGGGCCAAAACCCCAATGCTACTTTTGGTGAAGTCTCTAAAATTGTAGCTTCAATGTGGGACGGCTTAGGAGAAGAACAAAAACAGGTACAAAATGTGCTGTAGCTCAGAGGCTTTGTTTCAGGAAAGTGTTATCAGGGTCATCTAAGCACTGTAGGCAGCTTCTTTTGTTTGCCGGGCTGAAACTTGAATATGTGCCATCTTGGGAATATGATTTAAAGAGGCTAAGATAAGGAGAGTATCGTTTCATTTCTTCTGCATGAAACCACTAAAAGAGTTTTTTAGTTCTGGGGTGTGACACAAGCTTTAGGATTATATTTAGGATTGTTTCATGCTGAAGTTGGTGGGCCTGAGATTTTATGATGTCATTGCCCTGACTATGACAGTGTGGTGTAGGAGGACCTTGCTGCCAAAAATAATGTCTGTACAGTGGGACCTGACACATATCTGAGCTCCCAGTTGCAGATGTTCCCTGTTCCATGATGCCAGAAGGGGAGCTGGGCTCACACCTTCTCCCGACCCATCTGGCTTTTATGAAAGGAATTACAGATCTGTTGACTCAAAGAGACCTATGGTGGACCCTGGCAAATCGACAGCGTTCTGGGGTATCCTCTTGCACAGCATACATGTAGGCTGTGGAAATCACAACCCGTAGTTACTTCTGTCCTCCATCGAAAGGCCTTGGTTCTGCAACAAGGTCGGCAGAGCTGGATCTGAACCTTTGCAGAAATCCTTCTGAGTCAGTCAGACCCTATGTAAAAGTGGACAACTCTGGGTGAAGCTCACCGCATTCATGAGTTTACGGTGGTGACAGTTGGCAAATACCATTCATCCTCGCTGTAGCGTACCATTGCTTTTCTGTTGTTATTAGTTGCATTTTTACTATCTGCCAACAGAATGGACTGGGCAGATAAAGAAATGGGAACTTTAAGAAAGAAACAGAAATGGAGAGAAAGGATGTGCTGAGTCAGTTATATTGACTGCAGGAGGCCTGGGTGGGGGTTGATGTCAGCACAGAGAGAGGAAAAGTACTGGGACAAAACTGCATCTCATTCTTTCACACTAAGCATATTATCATTACACAATTACAGTTAATAAGGCTAAGAATTAAAACGAAAATATTGCTATGATTTTTTGGTAGGTAAAATCATTTGGACTTGAAAAAAAAAGTTTTTCTGTGCTAATAACTGGATGGTGTACGTACATCTAGATCCCTGTTAAAGATAACAGTGTAATAAAAATTAAGATTTGGCACTCATTGGCTAACTAAAAAAAAAAAAAAAAGCTTATTCTGTCTAGCATCCACCATTGAATAAGGTCAGCATTTGGAAGGTTTAGCTGGAGGAAAGGTAGCTTTCTGAACACAGGGGTCAGAGAATTCACTCGGCCTGGCACGTTAGGGTTATTTTGTTGTGTTGTCTCTTCCTTCTGCCTTTTTTAATATGTCCAGCAAAGGCCAAGGTTATGTCCTTGATCTGACAGGTTGTTTAGACTTTCCCAGTACAGCAGTTCTCTCGTAGTCGAATGTTACCTTTTAGGACCATGATGATGAGTGTTCACTTTTGACTCAGAAAAAATGCTGACTATGCTTTTAGTTAAGTTCACAAGCAAGAGGTTTTGATGCCATTCCTCCTTGTCCTGAGTACCTGCCCAGAATCACTCCCCATGTTGAAATCTTCACACCCAAACACATACCTCAGGAGTGCTCCAAGTAGTTAGATCTGAATCTTGGACCCATCTTGCTTGCCTATGGGATTGTGGATCCAAATTTTCCTGAAACGGTGAAAGGCAGAGACCTGGATTTCTCAGGAGTTTGTTAATCTAGTTAATCTTACATCTCTCTAGTGATGACACCAAGCAAGACCTTGTGCTTGGTTTTCTCCACCATTTTTCATAATCACCCGTAATTTGTGGCTGTTGCAGTGGTGCAGTTTTTCCTTCCATAATATTTGCTCCACTTACAAAGCAGAAAACTTGCCTTCATGAATAATAGTCCAAGATCATATAATGGAGATAGAGAAACATAAAAGACTATACAATGCACATTTCCTTTGAACTTGTCATATTACTAGTACCAGCAGAAAATTGAAGTCTTTCCATAGAATTCTGTTTAAGAAAAGTTTATAAACCCCTAAAATTTCCAGCTTTAACTTGGATGTCCTATTCGTGGTTGAAAGCAATAATTGATTAAGTCCTACACTGGAACAGCAGAACAGAATTTATTTTATTTTTTATTTATATCTGTTGTCCTTAATTTAAGTTGGAACACAGCAGAATGATGTGTTATGGAATCCACATGACACATCCCTGAAAAAATGGCTGCAACTAGATTTTTAAGCCAATTATTCCAAGAGTTTGGGTTAGCATATCTTTGACTCATTTTCCCTATTCATTATCATCTATTAAGTACATTGTTAAAACTCCAGGCCCAGGCCCTTTCTAATCTAGCACTGTACAAAAAGAATAAAAGCTGGTCCCTATTTTAAAAAATTGGCAATCCTATTTTCTAGAATAAATTTAAACTCATTCTTTATTCCATTAGGGATCTAATAGTACAAAGTAATGATTACAAGACATCTTAACTGACTAGATAGTCTGTATTTTAAAGGCCTAATTTTTCAGATCCAGAGCATTGGTAACTGTTATGAAACCTATGTCTCCAGTAGGAAAATTGGACTCTAAAAATACAAATGTAGCATTTGGAATTTGGCATTGAAGAAGCTTCAGAAATTCAAAAATAGTTAAATAAAGAAACAATAACATCATTAGAGGAATACTTTATTGATGAATTCTACTTGCTGAAAAGGATTCAATTATCATAAAGTTTCTGGCTTTTATGTTTTGGAAGCTAATGCGTATTCTGGAATTTAAATAGAATTATGTTTCCAAATTATGTTTCCTGAATTGGAACTCCTTTTACTATTTAAATAGTAAATATAAATGAATCAGAAAGTAGAACATAATGCAGCTATTGAGAAAGAAGAATAACCTCATGTTTTCATGCCAAAATGAAATCTTCTTTGTTCCTACGGCCTGAGCCAGCTTTTTCTGAAACGCATAGAATTCTTCTTGTTTATTCCTGAAGACTGACCACAGAATACATAAAGGTATTGAAACTCAGTACAGTGATGACCTAAGGGCAGTATATGTATGTCCAAGCCTTTGCAAAAAAATTTTGATAACCTGACATATTAGACTGTAGCATGAAAGGGTTTGTGCAAGAACCACATATGTTTTTCAAACTGTGAAGAAACTAGGAAAATGTTATTTGAGAAAATAGGATTTGAATGACAAAAAAGGAAATGTTATTATGAACTAGATGATGCTGGATGCCTTACTGAAGTTAGGGGGGAGTTATACTTAAAATGTATCACACTCTGATGCTCTTACCATGAGAATATTGCAATTTATTAGATTAAAGTAGATACCAGTGTACTTCCACTCTCATTTTACCGTATGAAGACATTTGCATTTTTGGGTCATATGCTAGAACTGTTTCCATTAATTCCGGAGCATACAAGGGCCATTTGCAAACAACGCTGGTGTGTGTCTGTGTTTTGTTTGTCCAAACCTATCTACACAGAGAGGTCTAGAAATTAAAGGGACTTTAGTGGTCATGGTGGACTCTGTCATGGTTTCTTCTCAAATTCTGAATTGGGTACAATAATTACACATGATCAGAAGCAGGGACTGTGCATTTTCCTTCATTTTTCACTGTAAATGTTTTCTGAAACTATTCAGATTAATATACCTGTGAATGGAAAGCAGCTGTAGCAGTAGTATGTTGGGGTACATTCTCCTCAGTGCTGTAATCGTAGCACAGGGATATTTTCAGTGGCTTTTCTAGTTCCTCTCTTACGATCACAAACACTGTTTTCTCCTTAGTTAGTACTATACTTCTGTGCATCCTGTTTTTATAGCTTATTTATGTACATCTTTGTCCTTTGCACACATTTTTACTGCAAAGGGGAGAAAAACAGCCCCCAGGGAAGAGGGTTCAGTGTGCTAAATGGTCAAGTCTCTGGCTTTCAGACAGAATGCTGGTTCAAACTGGGTAAAAAGGCTACTTAGATCATTTTCTGTCCTTAGATGAAAAACGAAAGTCATTTTAAATCAGTACCAGATGTGTGTGTACAAAATGAACCTTAGGTTTCTAATTGGAGTCCTAGTAAAGCTGTAATAGATGTGGCAAATTACAAACAAAATGTTCTTGTTTACATTAGTGTAACTTTAAAACTTCAGCCAAAGACCTTAATAAATGTGCTATTATTCTAAAAATGGAATTGAATGTCTATTCAACAGTCAACAAAATTAATCTCTGGTGTAACTTCAGTGACTTAACTGGAATTCTAGCAGGAATGAATTTGGCCTCCTATGAACAGCTTAGTGTGCGTACATATATATGTGTGTATGTGTGTGTATGTGTTTTTGTGTGTTTACTTAAATGTTGCACTGGCCTTGCAGCGGGAAGAAGGATGGATTCACCTAGGGGACCCAAAACTTAATGATCAGAAGAAGCTGGTGAAACGACTGTTTGAGTGCTGTAACATATGCCTTCTTTCAGGCTGCATAATTCATACACAGTAATATTAGCTGCAACAGTTCAGCTCAATAGCAACACCTCATTATTTTATCCCTCAGTATTTATTCCTATGTTTGACGCCTCATGAAATTACTGTTAATGTGTTTATATAAGGGCAGATCTGACACAAGTGGGAAGAATTTAATTTCCCACTCATTCTTTCCTGCTGATGTGTCCTCTTCCCCTGGTAGAAGTGGCAAGTGTAAATAGTTAATTTGCTTCAATTATGAGCCTGTCCTGCTAAATTAGAAGCAGCAGGAATATGAAGAGCCAGAATTATACTTATGAGGCAGCTGACAAATCCTCAGAGCTCACAAAATCAAATCATTTACTCCTCATTGGTGCTCAAAGACCCACTAGGTAAATGCTGCAGTTCTTTAACACCTGATGGAACTTGGATTGTATGTTACCAATACTTAAGTAAATTGAAGTCCTCGTGCATTAGTGTCAACAAATAGGAAGCAAAGGCACATCTGTGTGTGCACACTGCCAAAGCGAATTACAA